AGACTCCTTGGTTGCACTCGGTACGACTCACGCAACCTTTTGTCTCTTCAGACCATGACAGCAGCTGTCCAGTCGCAAATCAGCAGAACAATGAACCTTTGTTTGCAGGGGCTCAACTTTTCAGCTGCTCAGATTCAAGGAGCTTGCTTTCTGTTATCGGGCAACCGGGCGTTTCCTGGATTTGTGACGAGGGTAGCATCTCGCGTACTGAATGTTTCAATTGGAGCCTCCCGCGCGGGAGCTTGTCGATCGTTTCATGCCAAAAACTTTTGGCATTTCGTGTCCGGCCGACCCAGTCCGAAGGGAGACTGGAGCTAGACTTGGACGTGTGGATATGTGCTTGTGCAAATTGAGGAATGGCTCACTCGCAAATTGCCTGTCTTCAACGAATCTTCTGGGGTTTCTCCAGTAATATACAGGTTGGATGTTTGCGCAAATGGCGCCGTTTCCAATCACTTTGCTCAAACAAGTGCACGACATTTTGCAGGGGTGTGTTCGGCCAAGTTAGTAAGCTGCTGGTAGCCCAGGTCATGACCCACTAATAATTAGTGGGGTTAGCCCAGTCATTAGTGGGTTATAAGCCAGGTGGCTAGCCACTTACTAGCTTGGCCGAACACCCAAGCAACCAGTCCTTGTCGCCGACACCATTCCGTCAATCTGGAGTGCAATCCAGCGGAGACTCGAGGAGGGCAATTTTGAGACCTTGAGAACACCTCGGCGCGAAAAGACCGTGCTGGCAGGCGCACCAAACTATATGGGTCTGTCTCAAAAAACACATGCACTGAAGGTTTTCTGCCTTTTGGCCATACGGCGGCATGTGGAGCTCAGATGTGTTTTCGCGCCAAGGTTGGTCTGAAACAGCTGCGGTTGCATCCAATTCGGTGCGACTTCAGCCGAACTATAGGGTTGGCAAACTTAGAACTAAGACTGCGCCAACAACCAACTTTCCAGCTTGGGAATGCTAAAAGGCAAATGAGTTTGTTTCTCGCTTTTTTTCTTCGCATTCTTTGATTGCGTTTTGGCTTAGCAAGACACATGACCGCGTTCTTCTTGAAGGACCACTTCAATCGCATGTTTGAACAACGGTTCAGTTCCACCCACGACGTAGCCAGTTGGCGCATCCTTTCCCCCCTTTTCTCGCTAGTCACAAAGCCCAATGGGAACCCGGATGTGTCTCCCTTTCTGGTTTCTCAGGGGTGCGTCCCAATCAGACATTCGGGAAGCACACCGATAGATTCACCAGATGCAGGGGTTGACCCCTGGAGCTCGGACTCAGGTTTCGTGGGTTGTCCAACATGTTTTGCCATTTTGAGGCTTTGAGCCCTTGGGTCTTGAAGAGTATTTTGTTTAGCTGGTCGATGAGGTTTACCGCGGTTTACACGTTTAGTTCTCCCTGGATTTAGAGGAGACAGCAACCCATCATGCACGGCTAAGGGGTATATGACGTTGTCACATCCGTTCATTGAGACTGGAAAACGATCAGGCCATGTTTACATTTGCTTCCCTTTTTGTATGGAATCTCACGAACTGCAAACGGTCTGGAGGATGCCAGGCACTGTAGGCAGCCCGATGTTTTCCTTCTGGTTGCTGAAGGTGGCCCTCCCTAGTGGACTGGGGATTGTACGTGGGTCAATGCAATCACTTGGCATGGTCCACTTCTTTCCTCCTCCCTCTGCCCACTTATACAAGCGGTGCACAATTACTACTGCTCTGCCTTGCAAGCCCATATTGGCGGCAGAGAGTCCAACCCAAGAATTCGATGGCACCTTGACCAAGGAAGCACAAAACCAATCTGCTCGCGCGGAAAAAAGTAAACGAGGAAGCTTTGGTCGGCTCGGACCTGGGTTGCGGTGAAGCTTTGGTCCCGAAAGTGATACTCAACGCTTCCCCCTTACCCCGAATACCACAGCCTTTCCTTTCCCGCAAATCAGACATATTGCGCACACACACCTTCCTTGTGTAGGACTTATTGATCCCTCATGCCGCCCTTGTATACTTGTCATTTGGAGGGGTATGGTCCTGGAGGCTGGTGGTACTTGATCGGACAATTTCCCTCCCACCCAGTCATGGAAGCTGACAGAAGGTCCTATGAAGAGATTCTTGCTTTTGAAAGTTTGTTCCCCCATCTGACAGGCGATTCCATGGAAGCTCCAAACAAAAACCCTTAGGCCGCCCAGTAGTGCCCTTTTACCCTTTTTTTGGGGAGGGTTCCCCTACTAAAATAGACACAGAAAAAGGGTACCCTTGTTCTAACCTCTCTACTGGAGGACCTAGACCCCGTTGCAAGACGTGGTTCCACTACCGAGGCCTTCCGGGAGCTCTTCCATGTTGGTCTGGGGGAGTGTATTGATCCTAGAGCCTCACAGGCTGATCCTTGAAGCCCTTCAGCATGTGACATCTCCGCGCTGGTTTGACCTTCGCCTTTTGCTAACGTTTCGGAACATGAGAGAGGTGTCCAAGCTCTCACTAGCAGCTAGCAACACGTGTATAAGTTTTGGCGGGGGAGGCTCAGCTTGACTGTTGAGGCAATTACAAGGACTGCCCCCGAAGGTTGTTTTAGGGAGCACACCTGAGCAGTGTGCGTTTATCCTCATCTCCAGCAGGGGATTGCCATGGTAGACCTGCAAAGCTAGCTTTCTGTGTAGATTGAAGTTCCTCATGTTGAGGTTTCTCTTTCACAGGCGGAGAAAAAAAACAAAAAACAAAAAAAAAAAACTACCAGTCCCGGTGCTTTGGTGCTCTTTTTTTGAATTTTACCAGCTTCAGATATTTTGTTGTTGGCTTCACGTTGTCGATCTCACACCTGCAAGGTCCTGTTTTTGAGGCGTTTGTTTTAATCCCGCAAGCGGGGCTGGTGTTTTTTTTTTTTTTGTATTGAATTCCCGCTCGGTGTGCCGTTTTTCTTTACAAGAAAACAACAACGCCTCAATTTTCCCGGCGCGTCTTGTTGAACTCTCGCCTGTCCCGGGCGGTCTTTCTTTTGAAATCTCGCCTTTTAGGTCCTGATGTTTTCTTTGATAGAATCACGTTGAAACGAAAAAGCACCGGAGTTTTCTAAGCGTGACTTCAAGAAACAACACCAGGGCCCACAGGCGTGCATTCTTAAACAAACACTGGAACCCCCAGGCGAGATCTGTGTTTTCAACGGGCATATTTTTGGGTCACCTAACCCATTGCTTACGTCAGATATCATTCCTTGCACGCCGAGGAGCTCGCCATCTCGATGCAACGGAGCTGGGCGGGGAAAGCGGGAAAACGAAGTGCAAGTTGCTTTTTGGTTCGACCGTAATGACATGTTGATTGTTTCGAACATCTCATTTTTGCTGTGCTCAACAAAATGCCGAATTCTTGATTGTTTGCAAGGGGTCACCACCAACTCAGTTTTTGTTTGTCCAATTCGGACATGTTTTGGGCATGGCCCAAAAGGTTAGGACTTTTTTAGCGAGTCAGGCTGTTGCTCAGACTTTTCTTGTGACCTTTTTTTGTGCTGAGGAATTGGTTGCAGTCATCAGAGGCTTTTGAAGGTTGTACTGACAAATTGTTGGAGTGCACGCCTATAAATGCAACCAACATTCTTGCTGATTGACGGCAAAGGGTGGACTGACCTGGTTCGTTTTCTCAGTGTCCAAGTTGCTGATGGCTGTGTTGTTTTTTTGTTTTAGTCTTTTTTCCATGAAAGGGACAATTCAACGCCCTTGTTCCTTACCATTGGGTTTGACAGGGTCTCAAGGAAACAATCTTATGACTGACTCTTCCATGCAACTATTTCGGACCCGTTTGGCCTATTCGATCTTCCTTGCCAATGTCATCTCATCCTGTTCTGGTGTTTGGGCTGGCCGGGTTGCGGGATTCCATTTTGGGTGGGCCGAAAGGGGCGTAGGTATTGACTCTAGTATCGAGCTCACGTGCCACTTCTTGGTGGCTCCCAGCCATCCCCCTTAGTTTTTCAGCCTTTTAGCGTGTGTAGCTTCCGTTTAACCCACCAAAAGTTAAACTTTCAGCGGGGGATCTGAGGGCAGCCCAGCCTTTTGTAATACTTATGGCACTGCAAGTGTGAAAGCGTGGCACTACGGCAACCCAAGCCGCTTTTTCGGGCAAGTTACCCGCGTACATCGGGCGAGAATCTCAATTGCCCAAAGTTGCGTTTGAATTGTTGCAAATAGTATATAAATCTGTATTGACTTGCAAACTCACATTGGTGGTACATAAGCCCCAAATGTGTTGGTGGTCTGACTTTAGCGTTCATGTTACAACAACCCAAACTTTGACCCTTGCAAGGGTACTTTGAAGTGGTTATAAGTCAATCGTTGACTTTCCAGAGAATTGGAGCAGAGTGTGAGGCTTTTGGTGATTTTGATTGATGTTTGGGGGGTTTTGACCCCTCTGGTTCTTGCAGCGGGTACCCTCCCACCAATCAACATGGATTCTGACAAGGGGTACCTTAGAAAGAAAATGGCCTTCCAGGAGCCCCCTGTCAGGTTCCATGTTGATTAGTGGTAGTAAATGGGAAACCATCCCCTAGCTTCAATCCACCAATCCAAAGCACAAAAACGGGCACGTCAGCACGGCCCGGTACGGACTTGCGTGAGCAAAAACATCGTGCCGCTGGATTTTGCTCGAGCTGCGGAAAAGTTTTAGGCGCATGTTTGTTGGATGAGCAAGCAACCATGGCGCAAACTCAGGGCTAACAGGATGGCGTGTGAGAACAAGGGACCCTTCGCAACTGACCCCCCAATGCCAGGTTTTACGTTTTTGCTCAACGCCATTCTCTAGGAACGTCATCCGACGCCCACTTTGGATTCACAGCACTCAGGTTGAGTGGGGCAATCATCTATCTGTGGCTGAAAAAAAGCTTTCGAGTGGCTCCTTTGGCTTGTTTTGGATTTCTTTGGATGCAGCGGTATGGTTGCTGGGAATTTTGAGTTTCGTGGTTTTGGGGAGATCCAAAGTAGGGCTTGCCCAAGAAGCGAAATCCAGAGTGTTCAAACACCGACGGCCGTGCGCGTCACGCCTGTTTTAAGCTTGTCATTTAAGTTATGGCTCCCAGTTGTCCGGACACCAGGCGTGAGGGCCGGGGATTTGGCCGGAGAGGTTCAAACGAGCAAGGCTGTGACGGGGATAAACAGGCGTCCACACGAGCAGCGCACCCCCCAAAAGCCAAACTTCAGACCCGGTTCTCAACTGAGAATATAGACAAGTACCGGGCACAGCGAGCTTAAGATGAAGGTCTCTTACTTGGAGATCCCCTGGTGGGACAAAACACTGGGAATTCGGTCCCGGCCCGGCCCCGGTAAGACCTGGTGAAGTTTGGTGGCTGGAACAACCCCTGAAAGCCCATCGTAGGGCTGGAACCCCTTTTGGGAGAGGGTCAAAAGTCGCAATGAATTTGGCTCCCCTTGGCCGGAAAAGCCTTGAACCTGCCAGTTGATCAATGTGTCCTTCATGAAAGCTTCGGATATCTCAGGTGCTTGAGTGTTCTTTGGTACAACCATTCAACCGTTGGACAACAAATGCAGTGGTTTCCTTCTAGGCAGCTTTGGTGGTTGTGGCTCGAGCAGCTGGTTGCGGCCACAAGTTGAGATTATTTTCTTCGTCAAGCTGCGGGTGGCCACTAAATATGGCAGTTGTTTACTTCAGGAGGCATGCCAATGTTCAATAGGACCGCGGGCCTTGTTTCCATCTTTTCTTGATCAATCCAACACAACATGCCGTTGTCTTCCATTTTGGGCGTGTTTCCCTTCAAAACCAGGCCGCCCCTGTCAAGCCCCCCTGTCACGGATGAGTGAATCAGTGGATGGCAGTTGGGGGCAGGCATTCGCCCGAACAGTTGTCTTGAATCCGGCCTACGCGAGGCTGTTGTTGTCTATCAGACCGAAGGATGCCTTTGGCGCGAACTACACCACTAGTTGATTTGCTGAGAAGCCACAAGGTACACACATGACTGCTTCACAGGTGACAGACTCCTTATCACCCTGGTGGGGGGGATTGCAGTTTTCCTTAGTTGCAACAACCAACCCAGTCTTCCCCATTCCATCGAAGCCTCTTTTTGCCATTCGCCGGCCTCCACGAGATCATTCGATCTTTGATTCCCCAAAGGCCAGGCTTCCAACTCGAAACACGTCCAAGCCGTTGGTGGCATGGAGTCCATTAGCCTACTGATCGGTTTCAGCGACTTTGATCGAATGGCAGAAGGGAGTTTTCTGCAAGTTCTGTCACCAACGCTGGCGCAGGCCATGTCATTGGTGAGCGCTTTGGTGAAAAAGCTGCTCTCGCTGGAGACGTGACCGCAGTGGGCAGTGCGGGATTTTGCTCCAGCTTTCGCTGTGGCCACACGGGTGTGTCTGTTTTATTCTGTTAACACGCGAGCCCACATGTTTGCTGGGCTTTGCAGGGGAAGAACAACAGATGATAGCTGTTCAAGACGGGACATGAGTTAGGGAGCCCCCCGGCCACAACTCTCAAATCGGGGCGATGTTGCTTTGTGGGAGAGGTTCAATATTTTGCACCAAGGGTATAGCAACCAATATATTTGTTTGAGAGCTGCATTGTTCTGCTTGTTGAGAAGGGCACCGTACTGGACATCAAGCCCAACTCTTATAGACATATCTATATATATATATATACATCCCCCCTATATACCTTAAAAATGAAGTTGAGGAGGGGGGTTACGTCAATAAAATAACATGTTTTTGGGCTTAAAAGCCCCCCGAGCCCTACCCTCGTCGCCCCAAACACACCGCCCTGCATGCTTCTCCCGCTCGCTGGGCTCAGGCGTGCGCTCCGTGCGCTCCATCTCAGTTGGTTGTAACGCCTGACAGGCTCAAACACTGACTTAACTTAATGAGGCTTTTACTAGTAGGCCAGGCCTCTTTCACAACGGGTCTGCTGGTTGTTTTGTTGGGCTGTTGCTTTTGCTGGGCATGGGCATGTAACTGAAAAAACTTGGGTTTCTGCTGTTCTGTCGGGCTGCTGGGCTGCTGGGCTGATAGGCTGTGGGACTTTGGGCTGCTAGGGCGCACTGTCTGTGTGTTTAGGGTTTAGGGCTTGGAGCACAGCAGGGCAGCCAACAGTTCGACCCCCAAAGTGCAAGGGCATCGCCAAGCAGATCGCAAGATGTGTGGTTGCGCATAGCAGCGTGCATCAGCGCGCAATATCGCGTAAAATCGCAAAGGAGTGTCTCGAAAGCAATCTGCCACGCGCAACTGCAATCTGCCAGGTTTCTGCATGAACCGGCGCGCAGGGTCCTACGCCGAGGCTTGTGGACCTGCACGCTCAACCGCGAGATCCGGCGCGCCGGGCACGGCACCCCGGGCCGTCCGCTGCGCGCGCCCGACTTGAACATCCCACCCAGCAGCGTTCAGCAAGGTTTCGGGCGCGGCTGATACACACTAAATCAAGTTGAAGCATGTTAACCCGAGGTAGAAGCACTGAGCTGCGACTGAGCTGTGGCCCATGCGCCTGCCGCACGTTTCTTTTTCATAGGAAACTCCAAGAGGCAAATGTGTAATCAAGCGGCCTGGGGCCTTAAAAGCAGATTCCCGAGTTTGCCTTTTCATCCAATTGCGGAACTGCAGCTTTCAGAAAAAGGGCGCGCTTCCCCGAAACGGCCTATGTTCATTTAGTCTGCTCACCGCCACTGGCGGTAAGCAGGCTAAACGCTCGGATACGCCTGAGGTGACTCAAGGCCGGATGGACGGCGCCAGTTGTTGTTCTCTTTGGGTTCTTCCCCACGGAAAGTTCCTTTTGAACCCGAAGAAAGGTCCCCTTAACCTGCTTCATCCGGGATCGACGGAAGTTTCTTCGGACAAGCGGTTCGAAGCCTCTCTGGTTTTTTCTGTGTTGTTTTGGGATCTTCTATGCTAGGGCCCCCCCCCTCCCGAAGCGAAATTCGGTCCGAATCCAGAAATCGTTTGCTTTAGAAAACCGGACAAAGGCGGATTTTCTTCGTGCCCCACTTCCATGCCAAGTCAGAACGGCGCACGCAAAAATCCCTGTTTGCCACCCCAGTCGTCCCTGCAGAAAAACAACAACATAGCTGTTTCACAACACGGTTGTTCGCGTATGAAGGTGCACGCACAATTTAGTAAAGGATGGAAGTTCGACCTGTGCGAACCACACCCCCGAACCATACCACGAATCATACCTCCAAGCCATACCCCGAATCATACCCTCTTCACACCACCGGACAATACTAGTTACTACTTCTACTGCTGCTGCTACTATGTTACTACAGTACTACCACTACCGATACCACTACCACTACCGCTTCTACTACTCCTGCTACTACTGCTGTTACTCCTACTGCCACTCCTACTGCTACTGCTACTACTACGACTACTACTGCTGCTACAACAACTACTCCTGCTACTACTGCTGCTCACTCCTACTGCTACTATTACGACTACTGCTGCTGCTGCTGCTACTTCTACTACTACTACTACTACAACTACTATTACTACTAACTACTACTAGCGCTACTACTGCTGCTGCTGGAAAACTACTCCTGCCACAACTGCTGTTACTCCTACTGCCACTCCTACTGCGATCCATGGCGCCTGGGCAACGTGCTTCGGCTGATGACGCAGCTGCCGTTCTTCTAGCGCAAGGATACGCAGGACACGGCTCCCGTCTTGCCACAGAGGCTAAGGGAGCTTTGTCCGCTTGCGAAAATGGCGAGGTGCGCGTGGTGGCCAGCTTTGTCTTCCGTGACATACCGCTTGCTGGGCCTCTCATTTGGCTCGCGTATGTCCTTTACCGCTGTGGCATCCATGTGAAGCAGAATGTCGGCAAGCTCCTCTGGCCAGTTCTGGCCAAGAAGCACCCCTTCATGGGGTTGGGCAAGGGTGCGTTCACCCTCCGTCACGGCGCTTTCCTACACTTTCCCACGAAGGGAAGGGGCCCGCGTGACGAGAGCTATCAAGTCCCTGTTGCGTAGCTGCCGGGCCACAGAACAGTTCGGTATGATTGCCCTGCTCATCTACATGCGGTCTACCATGCTCGCAGAGTTTGCACTGAAGGCTTTCCAGAAAGGCAAAGTGAACGGCTTGCTCGACCTAGCCGCTTTCTTTTTCCGGGAAACTTCCAAGCGTGGACAGAAAGCTTTCTTGCCCACCAAGACTGTTCGCCAACGCAACGTGCAGACCGGAAAGCGCAGCAAGGTCCGCAAGAACCCTAAGTTTTGCATGAAGGGACTTTTTCCAACATGGCGAGACGAACGGTCACACAGTTTGGACCACATTTTGCTCAATCTTGGACGCAGACAAAAAAGGCAGCCGCCGACTCGCAAGGGAAGATGTCTGCTTATTGTCAACGAAGGCTTGCCAAACTGCACGTAGTTGCAGGGCAAGGGCAAACACGCAATTTTCCTTCCTAGGACCTTGCTTTTGGGAGCAACCTCGTCGGATGGTTTAGTCTGCTCACCGCCGTCGTCGGAAAGCAGACTAAATGAAAAGAGGCAGTTTCGCGAAACTGCCTTTTTTGGCAAGTTGCAGCCGCATCTGGTTTGCATTCTTTCTGGCCCCAAGGCTTAGCGTGGCAGAAGAGCAAAGAATAAAAAGAGAAGGAGATGATTGGGTAAGAAAAGAGAATTGGTGAGAAAGGAGAAGGCAGGCAGTATGTAGCGCGTGCTGCCCCAAGGTGGGATCACACAGGCGGCAAGGAGCTGGCCCTCCTCCTTGTTTACCAATTCGCAGAAAGCAAGCCAAACTACTTGAGACATGAGCTGTTACTGCTCCCTCAACAAGCTATGAAAGAGAGATGTGCCGCAGGAGCGTGGGCCACAGCTCAGTCAGCTCAGTGTTTCGTCTATGCTCTTGGCGGGTAAAAAGAAGGCTTCAGGTCACTTGGCTGAAACGGGGCTCGGACTGTTTTTGCATCGCTTCAAAGAACGTCAAACACTGGCCGGAGCCAGCGTGCTGATTTAGTGTGTGTCAGCCGCGCCTGAAACCTTGCTGTGAGCGCTGCTTCAAGGGCCGGGGCGCCGTGCCGCACATCTGAGAGCTTTCCGGGTCACGGCGCGCCGGTTCACAAGGCCCAGCGCGCCATTTCACAAGGGCCCGGCGTAGGGCCCGGCGCGCCGGTTCCCAGCGCGCCATTTCACAAGGCCCGGTGGCGCGCCGGCTCACAAATGTCCAGCGCGCCATTTCACAAGGCCCGGCATAGGGCCCGGCACGCCGGTTCACAAGGCCCAGCGCGCCATTGCACAAGGCCCGGCGTAGAGCCCGGCGCGCCGGTTCGCGCGCCTTTTCAGAAGGCCCGGCGTAGGATTCGGCGCGCCGGGTCACGCAGTTGTGTGTTGCGGCACGTCCGGTCCCGCAATTGACAATTTCCGGCGAAGGAGGCAGTGTGCCGGGTGACTCGATTGTCTGCGTTGCTAGTCACAGGGCCTTGAAAAAGTAAAATGACCCCCCCCCTACGTCGATTTAAAAATAAAATGCCCCCCCCCCCACACGTCACTAAGGCACGGGGGATATATATATATATATAAACATACATAGTTTTTTCACATGAAGACCCTACGATTGCAAGGATCGTCCTATCAGAGACACTTCTACCGATACAGCCGCGTGTTCTTGCCATACCCCTAAAGGCTTGACCATGTGCCTGTTTGGTAGGCGCCCCTTTCAAGTAGTTAGTTGTCACAAGGCTCATGGGATATTGCGATCCAACGGCGCCCTGCGATGCTTGATTTGACTCGCTGGTGCTCAGGGAATGTCCCCGTTAATCCATCACCTGTGGTTTCCTTTTGAAGCTTTGGCCTTTAGCCTTGGAGGCAAATTGTTCATCCCCGCTTACCAGCAACCGATATAGTTGCATTTGTGCAGCGAGAACCACCCAATTGCTTGCAACCAGGTTTGTAGGGGCACTTCCTTAGGGCTCAACAAGGTTCTTGTGTAAGTGCTGCTGACATATGTATCTATACACATTTATACATATAGATACACACATAGTTTTATATGCTTACAGGCCTTTGGGAAGTGCACCATATATATATATATATAGCAAGTACCAAATCCAAAAATACATGTTGTTTAGAATATTCGCCTGAAGTAATTTGTCACTTCCCCGCTATGTAGTTGATGTTAGAGGGGACTGCGTTCATGATTGAACCGCCTATTGTGCATGATGATAGCAATGGCACCTACGTGTGTGTGTGTGTGTGCGTGTGGGGTTGGGCTCGCATACAAGATGGTCAACTTGGGGGTGGCCGACACGTAGGACAACTCAACCCACAACCAACCCCAAACCCCAACCCTAAAACCAATCCTACGCCCCTAACCCTTAACCCTAAACCAACCCCAGATCAACCTTAAACCGACCCTAAGCCAACCCAAACCAACCCAACACCCACCTAAACCCACACAAAATTAACACACAACCAACCCCAAGTCAGCCGTAAGCCAAAGCTTAACCCACCACCCTAAACCCACCCCAAACCAACCCTAAACCAACCCTATACCCACCCTAAACCAATCCTAAGCAAACCCGACCACTTGTTTTCCAACAAATGCAAGCCAGGTACTTCCTGAAGGGGGAAGGCCGCGTCACTGCGCACGCCGCCAAGCGATCACTTACCGCCAGGTCCCCTGTATCGATACGGACCGCTCGAACAGATTCAAGGGCATGTTGTTGGTTTTCTTTTATCCGTTTGGAGCTGCTTGGCCAGACATCCAAGTACCAGACTACCGTCATCCTCAGAAACCTATGATTGCTCGAGCTACTTTGACGGGAAAAACACCCATTCTTGGAACCTTACCTCATCTGAGACGAGCCCACATGGGTACATGGCGATGAGGGTCCTGGTTCCAGTCCCCCCCACAAACATCCCAGAAAGGGATGCCATGTCGAACTCGCAAGGCAAACGGGACGCTTTGGCTTTGGCTCTTGCGCAACTTGCCGGAGCAGCGTCTCAAACATGATGGCACTGTCCGTGCATACATCTCGGTTGACCTATCGTGCAATCCTCCTTGGGCTTACACCGACATTTTGGTGCGGCAATGCAGCATGGCTTTTGCTTGGAGGATTCGCGGATTGCCAAGTATGTTGCATGCATCCGTTCTGCAGGTTTGCATGCCCAACCCTGGGTCTCTCAAAGCGAACGTTTTGAGGGGTTCTCAAAATCACATTTTGGGATGGTTAACCCTTCAGCCCACCATGTAGAGGGCAATGTTGAGAAGGTTACTGAATTCCCCATTCCCCTTTAGCGACTAGATTCAATCAGAATTTGTCACTAGATGATGCAAATCAAAGAGTCCCAAATTCTGAGTAAGACAAATACTGGTTTGAACCCGACACAAGTTCTGGGAGACTCCAAGTGGCTAGCAACATCATGCCAACCCGGTAGGATCACAGCGCCACAAAAAAATCAAGTTGTTTGGGCCTTTACTTGTCGTTTTCGTTTCGTAGCTGGAACCAAAATGAACGATGCGTTTCACACCCTGGGGTTTTATTTGTACCGGAGGTTTCTCCAAAAGTTGGGGGTGTTTTGGGAGATGTAGCCC